TCCTTCCTTCCCTTCCTTCCTTCCTTCCTTCTCCTTCCCTTCCTTCTCCTTCCCTTCCTTCCCTTCCTTCCTTCCCTTCCTTCCTTCCCTTCCTTCCTTCCTTCCTTCCCTTCCTTCCTTCCTTCCTTCTCCTTCCCTTCCTTCCCTTCCTTCCTTCCCTTCCTTCCTTCCTTCCTTCTCCTTCCCTTCCTTCCCTTCCTTCCTTCCCTTCCTTCCTTCCTTCCTTCCCTTCCTTCCTTCCTTCCTTCTCCTTCCCTTCCTTCTCCTTCCCTTCCTTCTCCTTCCCTTCCTTCTCCTTCCCTTCCTTCCTTCCTTCCCTTCCTTCCTTCCTTCCTTCTCCTTCCCTTCCTTCTCCTTCCCTTCCTTCTCCTTCCCTTCCTTCCCTTCCTTCCTTCCCTTCCTTCCTTCCCTTCCTTCCTTCCCTTCCTTCCTTCCCTTCCTTCCTTCCTTCCTTCCCTTCCTTCCTTCCTTCCTTCTCCTTCCCTTCCTTCTCCTTCCCTTCCTTCTCCTTCCCTTCCTTCTCCTTCCCTTCCTTCCTTCCTTCTCCTTCCCTTCCTTCTCCTTCCCTTCCTTCCCTTCCTTCCTTCCTTCCTTCTCCTTCCCTTCCTTCTCCTTCCCTTCCTTCTCCTTCCCTTCCTTCTCCTTCCCTTCCTTCCTTCCTTCTCCTTCCCTTCCTTCTCCTTCCCTTCCTTCCCTTCCCTTCCTTCCTTCCTTCCTTCCTTCCTTCCTTCCTTCCTTCCTTCCTTCCTTCCTTCCTTCCTTCCTTCCTTCCTTCCTTCCTTCCTTCCTTCCTTCCTTCCTTCCTTCCTTCCTTCCTTCCTTCCTTCCTTCCTTCCTTCCTTCCTTCCTTCCTTCCTTCCTTCCTTCCTTCCTTCCTTCCTTCCTTCCTTCCTTCCTTCCTTCCTTCCTTCCTTCCTTCCTTCCTTCCTTCCTTCCTTCCTTCCTTCCTTCCTTCCTTCCTTCCTAGGAGATCAAGGGAAACCCTTAATATAAACCAGCAGTTCTTCAATTTATTACCTGTATCCCTCTTCTAGTAGCTGATCCTTGCCTCCATAACCCCACGTCTTCAATCAGATGATTCAAAGGCCTTCCTTAATTAAATAGAGAAAATAGGGAAAAAGTGTGTATCGGTCATTTTACTTGCAAAACTCTTAATAGTAACATGACAATTATGAAGAGCATTTCAGTAATATTTAGAGCAATTCCTATGATATCCTCCAGGCTAGCTACCCTCAGGAATCACTCATGCTCTCCCCAGTATAATGATATATAAACCAATATACAGTACCACTGAATTCCAATGAGCAAGCATTTTTTTATTATTATTAGGGGATTCTTATTTTGGTTGTTGTTGAGCAGATACGGGCACTAAGATGGAAAGATAGATATTTAATTACATTATTAGTCAGTACACTAATTATGATTATGTATTTTCTACTGCAGGAGCATGCCAACTCTGGTCACTAGTTGTCAATTTGAGAATCTTGATGGAGCCTATGTTTTGCCACCCATAAGATATCCTGATGGTATGATTCTCAATTTTGTTGCTTACCATTGATAATTACTATGTTATTTATTTCTCTATCTCTCTTAATGAGTCATTAGATTGCTGTAGCTAAACAAAAGAATATAAGAACAAAACTGATGATGAATAGGTTAGTACTAATTCCTTTTCATTCTTTTTTGCAAGGTCATTGGTATCTGAAGTTAGGTCATGGAAGGATGTACGAAGAACATAAGACAACACTGGCGGAAGTAAGGGATTGGTACATAAGACAAACAGGCATTCCAGAGTGTGTAGAAAAACTGGCAAGGTTTATGAGTCACATGTTACCAGGTAAGTGAGTGTGAGGCACCACCTTCCATTAATTTATTATATTATAATATTCAGATATGCATTTTAGTGGTCTGATACAGCATTTGTTGATTGAAACGTAGTAATAAATAAGCTTGATGGGTTATGATTTATTATTATTTTACTAGACTCTAGATTACATATTTTGTTTAATTCCAATGCTTCTTACTTCCTTACAGTTGCCAGAAAATCTCATCTTAGGTTATTAGAAGGCATACTTTCCCAGCATTTTGGTTTTTTATTGTAGAGATTTTATGATTGTGAGTCTGCCTTTATTTCTGATGATATTACAGATATTGCAACACATACAGAAAGTTAACAATACATTTGCTGCATCTTTATTTTCTTTCGTATTGATTACCCATATGATTTTTTCTTTTTCTTTTTTCTTTTTTCTTTTTTCTTTTTTCCTCCCCATGTTGTATAATAAGAATTTTCACAAATAAGTATGGTTACAGTTAGGATGTCATATTTGTTCATAGAAAAGTAATAAACATTATTCATATAGTTAGGTTATACTCCTATCTAATACACATAGAATATTCAGATTTCTTTTTTTTATTTCTTTCTCTTAAGACATTTTCATTGTTTCTTTAAAGACTATAGCTATGTTGTGAGTGTATGTGTATTTATTTATTTATTGACTTTTACGTTTATTTGTTTATATATATATGAATATGATATGTTAATACATAGATGGAATGATTTCAGAAACTTCCAGTTTGTTAGACAAGATTACAAGAAAAGATATTTCCAAAATGTGAGCCTTGCATGTGTGCGTGTGTGTGTGGGTGTGTACATGTTGTATTCACGTATGCACATGCATGTGTATGTGTAGGGGTGGGTGTGTATGTATTTATTCATTTACTTATTAATTCATTCATCTAATTATTCATTTATTTATTTACTTATATAGTAATTAATTTAATTATTAATTTATTTATTTATTTGTATGTGAATATTGATATAGTGTTAAATGTTTAAATTTCTGAAATTTCCTGTCTGCTGGGCAGGAGTACAAGAAAAGATATTTCCAATTTGTTAATACAAAATAGGACAGTAGTTAACAAAAGATTTTCCTATCTCCTCCTCATACTGACATTCACCTTCAGGTCTCAAAGTCAAGGAAGTCGTAGGAGATGGCTGCCTCACATCACACACACCGGAAGAAGAACCGTACATTGACATCATTGCTGAAGATTTTGGTGTTTGCTTGGGGGGCAACGGTTATGGGGCTGGTTCCAGTGATGAGATAGGGAGACTAGCAGCTCGTCTCCTGATGCTGGGAGAATGGGACTCGGATATACCCCGGGAACGTGTTAAGATTGTTTGGAAGGCTCAAGCTTAAGGATTTAGGGACATTTGCATTTATGTTGAGCACTAGTTCTCTTCTTTTTTGCTCCATGAATATGCTGTGGTAGCTTTTCCAGTATATGTGTATGCCATCATCTTTTATATGCTAACTTTTGACAATTTCTCTATGGATTAGCATTTTGGGAATTATTACAAAATAACGTTTAATGTCCCTTGCTGTTCCTTCTACTTCTACTGTGTTTCAAAATCACTTTCAAATGCCTGTAAAATACATGAAAAGTTAAGGATGTAAAAATATTTTTGTAATAATAATTATTATTATAAGGATAAAAGTAATGGTAATAACAAGTAAAGTAATGATTTCTGGCTGCAACAACAAAAACAGTTAATGTGTTCATGTACAGATAAAACTAATAATGATATTAATAATGATTATTTTGTTTAAATAGTTACAGGGAAATATTAGTAGTAATAGGAAAAACACTATAACAAGTCTAATATTATTAGTTACTGTTGTATGTAATTAGTTAAGGATGATGATTTTAATTATATCTATAATTACTTTTGTGCATCTTTATATATTTCTTTATGTGCACTTGTTTTTAAACTTTCTTTTATTTGTGCACTTGTTTTTATGATGGCCATTTTAAGAACATTTTATATTCTGCTTTTTAAGTTTTCTGACTATGTTAACAAACATGAGGGTCCACATGAGCCCCTCCCCCCCTGCAGAGTCTCCCCTATATATTAAAAGCTAAGTATTTCTCATACATTTTGTGTTGGTAGTGTCCCATGCACTGAAAGATCTGTTAACAGTCATTTTCCTGTGTCACAAAAGTGATGTTTTTATATGAAATGAATTAATAAATTGTTTTAATAATATGAGTATAACAATCTGTCCAGTTAGTCTTATCAACTAACAAGTAAAACCAGAACATTCAGGAAATCAAGTGAATGAAACTGGGACCAATGATTAACGTAAATATATATATATATATATATATATATATATATATATATATATATATATATATATATATATAATATATATATATATATATTATATATATATATATATATATATATATATATATATATATATATATAGAGAGAGAGAGAGAGAGAGAGAGAGAGAGAGAGAGAGAGAGAGAGAGAGAGAGAGAGAGAGAGATTGTGAGAGATTGTGAGAGAGAGAGAGAGAGAGAGACAGAGACAGAGACAGAGACAGAGATAGAGATAGAGATAGAGACAGAGAGAGAGACAGAGACAGAGAAATTTTATACATGTAACAACAAAAGACAGCATCATGACAGCATTATTTTTCTAATCCTGTTAAAAGAGCCAAGGAATTCTCATCTCTCTCTCCTTAGTTATTTTTTGAGTAACAGGTGGGAGGATAGACCTTAATTGTATTGAACAGAAAACAAACCACTCAACTAATCCTCAGCTATAAGGCCTAAGAAGACCCACATTTATCAACAACTCATTTGAAGAAATAGGGTAGCAGGTTGGGGGTGCTGACTGAAACAGGTGCTGACATGGCAGTGCTACAGAGTGCATTTATTTATTTAAGACCAAAAAGTATAAATATGGAAAATAAGTACTTCTTGTACAATATAAGCCTAATTAAAATATTCCTCTAGTACAAATTCATAAAATTTTGTATTCTAGTCAACAAAATATATATTCTTTATTTGAGATATAATAGCAAATAAACTGAGGATAATTTCAGAAAATATAGCATTCTGAACTTCAGCAAATAATTATACTCATACACTTTGTATACTTAAATGAGGTAATATAATCCATAGAGATAATACTACAAATTACA